GAGCAATTTTTTTTTCTCATAAAAAATTAACTCGTTAATTCAGAAAAACAGAGTAGATTTTTTTTCTTCAAGTGAATGCAATACGCCTCCGTACCTTTCAGAATAGATAATATCTCAAATTGTGCTCAGATTTGCCAAGATACAGTCTGCAATCAATCGATTAAGCTGCTGTCCACATTTATTTACAGGGCTCATATTACTATATGTTACCTATTGACTTATTTCTTTAAAATTAATATTAAGAGAAACATGATCTGACACATAATTGAGAATTTCATCAATTCTGCATAGCAACCTCTGAAATTTAAATAGTTTTCACTCACAACCCATTATACAGTCATAGACATAATTGACAACAGAAGAACAATCAGAATAGCCCTCAAACCGTATTCACTTTATAGCTCTTAATCCTGTAATTGTGGACAAATGTGGGAACAGAGGACTCAGCCGTGATCCTAATTTTTAGTATAAATGTTATATCGCTGTCTTTGATAAAATTTTGTCTATGGTGTTTTTTTTTTTTTTTTTTGGGGGGGGGGGGGGGGTATTTTTTGAATTTATTTACTTCAAAAAGTACCATATTTTCTATGTAAATTATGCTTATTTTTATGTTTTATTTATTATTTTTTTAACTACATTAAAATATCATTCCCATAAGTTCTTAGAGCTAAAACCTAAAGATGAAGTGACTTTGCTGTCACCTGGTGTCTTATTTTAGAGTGCTCTAAATTACAGTTTTTCCCATTCATTTCTATGCCCATTTTTGACCCAAATACAAGATTAAGGAGTTTTTTTTTCACCCACTTAACATTGTAGAAGTGAGTCAAAAACAAATTATGTGTGTTCAGGAGGCAAACTTAGGAAAAGTAGCCAAGTTTTGTACCGCTCAGATCAAGGGAAGTATTTTTTTTAAATAAATCAAAACTATTTTGCCCACATTTGTCCAGACTACAGTTTTAGGGATAAACTATTACAGAGAGTGATTGTCTATTATTGGCTAATTTGGTTACTGATATATTGTGATTCATCTGAATATCTATATCTATTTAATCAATTGTCTTTTCTAAATATAGTGGTATTGTGAAACATGATTACATTTGAACCCTCTGGTGTGGTCAAAAATGACAGATATTTTTTATTATCATAATTTCAATGAAATTTAGTTTGATAATGTTTATTTAAAGTGGATTTTATGGTACTAAATTATTTTTATGCAGTAATTATCCATTTATTTACTTTTTGAGCATAGTCACATGATCCTTCAGAAATCATTCATGCTGATTTGCTGCCAAAGATCCATTTCTGATTATTATCAATGTATAAAACAACAGTTGGATGCTTAATATTACGTGCTTTTGATTGATTTTGAACGATTTAAACATTAATTTAACATTATTACATTATGAATGTCTTAAAACTTTTGATCAATTTATCGTTTCCTTCCTGAATAAAAGTTTTAATATTAAAAAAAACATTCTGACAACAAACTTGTGTATCTTTCGATGCATTTCATGTGTTCAGACTGACTGTTTCTCTTCTTTTTTCTCTTTTTACAGACTTTTATAGTAGTAAACAAGGGAAAAGCCATCTTCCGCTTCAGTGCCACATCTGCACTCTACATATTCAGTCCGTTTCACTGCATTAGAAGAATCTCCATACGAATTCTAGTCCATTCATATCCTTCCACTGAACGTTTCTCTATGTGTGCATGTTTACTTGCTTGGAGAATTACACAGAGATTTGGTCTGTTTATAGCCGTGCTTCTGATTCGTGTTTAATAACTTGCGCAGACATCAGATCTTAAAGGGATACTCCACCTGTTTTTTTCATATTAAACTATATTATTCCCTTAACTAAGACAAGTTGATACCTCTGTCGTCTCAATCGCTCTGGCGCGCGAGAGCCTTTGATAGCACTTAACTAGCCCAGTTCATTCAATATGGGTCAAGCAGAGAAGCGACCAAACACCTCCACATTTTCCCTATTTAAATACAGTTGCACAAGTAGTGTAACTCGACCTACACTGAAAAAAATGATTTTTTGGTTAGGTAAATACTACTGAAAAAAACCCAATGTAATTTACAAGAAAAAGTTAGTTCAGGCAAGAATTAAAAAAAACTAAGTAAATTCCATATCAGTACTTAGTTCAAGCGAGTAGAAATGAAAGCATAAATATGAACACAATAAAATAAAGTAAAAATGACTCAACTTTTCTGATACTGGGGTTCCCATCATGCACTGGACCTTGAATAATTAATGAGGTTCATTTTTCACTGGATTCCAGCTGTATTTACACTGTTTGATCATTGCTTTTGTTGTCAGGATTAGTAACTTGCCATTTTGAGGAAATTTTCTGCTCAAAATGACACATTCAAACACAAAAACGATCCATCAAATCATGTTACCGTCATTGTGTATTGTCTACCAAGTATTGAGGTCTTTGCATTCACGTCATGCTTAACATCTGACATGATGAAGTATAAATTACTTAGATAGGCTAAGTAAAACACATACTATAAATGACTGGTATAATTCAATAAAATTGTTTGAGTGAAATGTAATGCAAAGGAAATTACAACTAAATTGACATTAATCAACCTTTTACTAGACAAGTTACTTATATTCTTTGTTACTTTCACTTAACTAAATTAAAGTTTACTTAATTCCATATTCCAAGTAAATTTTAACTTAAGATTTCTAATTAAAGCTACTGATAAATATGTTTAGGTTTTTACTTGGCAAATCTTTGTAAATTTACTAGCATTTTCTGAGTGGAAAAAGTTGCCAAGCTCTTTTCAAGTAAATCCTACTCCACATTTTTTTCAGTGTAGGACGGTGACGCAAAATAAAACGTTGCACTTTTCTAAGCGTGTAAAGTGGATAAGGCGGAATACCACAGCAAGTACTTGGGAGCACTTCGACTCGGCGTAGTAATATCATCACGTCCTCTCCCTCTCCAGAGTGATGATATTTCTGCGCCGGGTCGAGGTGCTCCCAAGCACTTGCTGTGGTATTCCGCTTTTGCATGGGCAAACACATCAGAATCATTATCAGAAAACATAGAAACAGAATTCTCATTAGGCCTCCGAAACTAATGAGGATATTATCAAAAGGCATCAAAAGCCCAAAATCTGGACCAACAGCAAAATGATATCCAGCTGCTCACACTGTGAGGCGAATCTGAAATATTTACCATCAGACTTCTATTGGATTTGGTTTCATCTCTGAAACAGCTCTGTAATGTTCTTCCCTGGCATCGCCAACCAAATCCGCTGATATTCCTCTTCTAATTCCCCAAATGAAATAAGAGCGCAGTGATTTGTCATCATGTGACAGCTGCATGCACAGATGTTTGAGTGTCCGCGCTCATGATGCACGCAGGTTTCCAGTCCTGTGTGAGACGTTTCTGCGTTAAAACAATTAAAACCATTCATATTTTAAAGAGAAAGGGACAAAGACTGTATCACAATGTCACTCCAGGTTACACTGTAAAAAATATTGTAATCACAATAGTTTTTCTTTTGTCAAAATCAACTTAAACAACTTAAACAATAATTTATATAGTTCAGATAACATAATATTTTGAGTTTCTGATGATTAAATCGATCTCCTTCATTGTATTAACTCACTTTTTCCTTTTCAATGAACTTAAAATTTTAAGGCTACCAGGTTACTTCTTTTTTTAATTTAAACCAACAATATATATATATTTTTTTACAGTTTACTGTCATCAAGCTTTACCAGAATACACACATATTATATTCAACTATGGTAACATTTATATGGTACTGTTACTGTATATCTTATTTTTTATTTATTAAACTCGTCATTATTAAAAAAAACTAAACAAAATGAATAATGATATTAATACATACATGCTAATACTTTATTAATTAATTAATATATTGATATTTTGCCTAATTTCAAACAAGGTCACATTAAATAACGATCTAATTCTTCTTCTTTTTATCAGAACTAACCATGAACTTGTTTGTATTGACACAAAATATACATGAATTAATCTGAATTATATATATATATATTTTTATACATTTTTTAATCTCATTTTACCAACTATTTTGACTTAATAATAAAATGAAATAATAAAATGAAATGAAATAATAATAAAATAATTGTAATTGTACTACTTTATACTAATCAAATAGTATATTGACATTGATTTGACCTAATTTCAAACAAAAAATCTATTTATCACTACCCTGTTTGTATTTAAAAAATAATCAAATTATTTATTATTTTTACCATTTTATTACTGAGACTAAAAAATACTGTTTTGTAAAAATATTTAATTAAATTTAATCTGAATTTGTCTGAATTAATTTATTTTTATTTTGTATTCACAAAAATATCAATAAATAAAAAAAAAATATTTTTTTTTTTGCCGTAACATTACTGACACTAAAAATGCTGTTTTGTAAAAAATATTTGATCTGAATTTAACAACATTATCAGTTTGTTATAGGCTCTACTTTTCAGATATGGTTTAACAGGTGTGGTTTCATTTTCCATTGTGGGACCGATAACGGAGAGAGTTCTTTGAATGTAATGCAAATACATCAGTTGTTGCCTTTATAACGCAAAAGTTTACCGACGATATGAGATGTAAATAGTGATCGTGTTGAGGATGAACAGATATTTCTCTTTTTAACTTGTGTTTACTTCGCTCAAATAGCGTGCTTAGACAGAGAACCTGGCAACCACAGGCAACAGACAACCGAACCAGGCTCACGTGGAAATAGAGCCGTAATAACCGTTCCTTACTGTCCATAGAAAAGCAGCTTTATTCTATCCCAGCCTTTCTAGATTTTCATGCTCAAAAAATTTACAAACAAAAAAGTTTTCAAAATGTCTGATAATATGATGCAAAATATACCGAGTTACTGTCATTAGGAACATCAATACTACATTTTCTAGACACTAGAAAGACTTTAGGATCATTTGTAGAATGACCCACATTTAGTTTAAACACTATACCTCACATGTTGTGACGCAGAGTCTCCTCTGACTGGACAGTTCAGATAGGGCCAGCGATATCTTGTTTTGTCCCCAAATGCCACAGGCTCTGAAAATCCATGTTCAGGCTCTATTAAAACCTTAGATCCATAATACAGAAAACAGAGTAAAGGAACAGCTGCTTTCCAATCACTAGGGTGAAATCCGTCCATATTTTCCGTTAGGATAAGCATAAATGATATCATGAATATTACAGGATAGCAACTTGACATGATGTACACCTTACAAGTTCTCATTTACTGTGTTTGGCCTACAATACTGATGGTTTAACTTAAAAAAGTAAGTAACCTGGTTGCCTTAAAATAAGTTCATTGAACTGGAAAAAGTGAGTTAATACAATGAAGGAGATTAATTTAATCATCAGAAACTCAAAATTATATGTTATCTGAACTAAATAAATTATTTAAGAAAAAATGTTGTGATTACTACACTGTAAAGAAATATTGTTGGTTTAACTTAAAGTAAGTAACCTGGGTTGCCTTAAAATTTTGAGTTGATTGAACTGGAAAAAGCGAGTTAATACAATGAAGGAGATTAATTTAACCATCAGAAACTCAAAATAATAAGTTATCTCAATTAAATAAATTATTATAAAGTTGATTTGACAAAAAAAAAATATGTTGTGATAACAAATCTTGAAAATATTTTTTACAGTGATGAACTTACTTCATGTCATGGATTTAAAATTTTTTTTAAAAATATTTTAATGTTAATATATTTTTTATTTGCACAAAAACCAAATACGTCACGCCTACTTTCTTTATAAAGTGACATCGGCAAATTACTTTCCTAGCATGCATAATACAGCATTTCTAGTCATTTCTACGGATCCATGTGAACGAGAATCATTTTGATATCGTTTTTTAATCTATAGGGTGGAAAGGAAAATCTTGCAGTAGGAAAAGGATCTACCTGCACTTGATTTTAAGACTATATGGCCAGAATTTTGAATTGAATTAAATTTGAATGGCATTCTGCTCATTTCCTTAACTTGTTCACTTTGTTTAGCTTGTTCATCATGTGCACAATTTTGACAAACTGCACCTTCATGGCGATGTCGGATCCTCCGCTGTGGACCAAATACCTAGAGTAAGCAACACCTTTATTCTGTTGACTCTTTAAATGTTTAAACATATATATTACAGTAACTACAGTAAACATTTTGTATTTTACTACTGCCATCGTCTACTGCCTACTTAAGATGTCTGCATAGATAATCTTATTTGATGACTGTTTTAAACTCTAACAGCTGCATATTTAATTTATTTTATGGACACAACCCATTTTACTTATAAAGTGAAATAGGATATTTATTGTTATTGAGAAATCAATTTACATTAATTTAATGTTGACTGACTGTAATAAACAAAGAATAGAACGTTAGAGGATTCTGCAGGTTTTAAAAGGGCAAATTTAAGACTTTTTCAAGACGTTTTTAAGACCAAGGTTAAAAATGAAATCTTGTTTTCTGTGAAATTGATCAAAAAATAAAGTATAAGCATAAACTAACTTCATGCTGTTACATTTTTCAAGACTTTATTTTACACTTGCATCTCAAGTAAATGTATCAAAGATGTTTAGATATTTGTATTGGAAAACAGGACAAAAATACTGAGGAAGATATTATTTTTTTGCAATGCATGCAACATTTAATGAGACTTTCTGCTCTATTTAAGACATTTAAGGCCTTAATTTGTGATAAGGAAAATTAAGACCTGCAGAAACCCTGCATATGTGCTTCAGAATGTGTATTGAAATGCTAAAAAGAGTTTTCATCTTAATTTAATTGCTTTGCTAGGGTCCTGATAACCACATTGGTAAGAGTTGCATCTTCATAAGCGTGCTGTCGCCATTCTGCCTGCAGCATCAGGAATGCCACATTTCCCATGATGTCACTTCCTGTTATGTTTTGAAGAGCTATAACATTAAAGCCCATTCAAACAGGAGTGTGATAGTTAAATTTAAGCTAAAGCTGCGTAGCGCAGGTTTCCGGTGTCTAAGCCCTGACCTAGATTTTAACAGATGACCTGAGTTTCCATATTCACTGATTATGCCTCTAGATTCTCTAATACAAAGCCATGGTGACCCAGCTCAAATAAAACATCATATGCATGTATGGAATATATTAAGAGATTGAATCTGAGCATGCAGCATGTTAACAATTCACCACTTGCATCAAAATAATCACTGTGCGAATGTTATGTATGTATGTTTAAAGGGGTCCTATTATGTTTGTTTGTTTGTTTTTTCAATATAATTTTTAGTCTTTAGCCGGTAATGTTTCTGTTTGTGCATGAAAAAATTCTGTTACAAAGCACAGCGTGAGTTCCTGAATTCCCTGAAACGACTCTATTTTAGTCTTGAGTTTTCTTCTGGGAACGAACATGCACACACAGAATAAAGGGACAAGGTCTGGTTGAGTTAGTTAGTAGTGTGTTGAAACTCACGGTTATGGAAAGGGGCGGGGCATTTCTCACTCGAAGCAGTTGACAAATCACAACGCACCGGTCCAACCAACCAATCAGAACACATTATGCTTTTCAGAAGGAGAGGCTTCATAGAGACAGGAACTAAACAGGGGTGCGTTTCCCGAAAGCATCGTTAGCCAACTATGGTCGCAAGTTCCGTCGTTATCAGCATAGTTCAACGAGTCGGCGTTTTCCGAAACAATCGTTCCAACGAACATTCGCAAACAGCATCGCAGTTGTGTGGTTAAAACGACAGCCTACCCTATCTCACGGCCAATTCGTACGAATTCGTACGAGTGATTCAAAAGTGGCTAATTCGTACTAATTCATACGACCTCACTCGTACAAATTTGTACGATTTGTCTAAACCCACGTGACGGTTATGTTTAGGGGCGGGGTCAGGGGTAGGTCATTCGTACGAATTCATACGAATTGGCTAATTCGTAAAATATGTACGATTTAGCTAAATCGACCTGTGGTTAGAGGCATAGTTTCTATTTTGCATCACATTTGGACGTAATAAATCCTTATCTTGAGCAAAATAAGCAAGCTGACATTCAGTTCAACCGGTGCCTTTTATTTAGAACACATACAAATGTAATTTACGTCTTTAAGTTTGTCAAAAGATTTAAAGTACCGTGTTTGAAGAATACGCATGTGCGAACGTGCTCTACTATGTAAGAACGAGCCAAATATTGAGTCTGGTATTAAAGCAGAACAACTGAAAACAATTAGAACTAGTCCTCAGATTACATGTCTGTAATTTATATGAACAAATCTAGCGTTAATTGGATCTCAAACAGTTTCATTAAAAGTAGTTATTACTCCACCACGTGCGAAACCAACGTTGAGCGATACTTTGCGACAATAGGTTTCGGGAAACAGTCGCGACTAGCTAGTTGATTTCTCTAAAAATGCATCGTACTATGGTAGTGAAGTAGCGAGTTGTACATCGTTGTATGGGAAACGCACCCCAGAGTGTTACTGAAAGACTGGGCTTTTTTTACATTAAAAACTTTATTTATTTATTTATTAAAGCATGGAAACCTATTCTAAACAAAATCAAGACTTAATAGGTCCCCTTTAAAAAAAGTCCAGTTAGTAGTGAGTAGTAACAGCTCACCGCAAATAGTTCATGTTTTCTCTTGTATTCTTTCAGGTATACATTCACTGGCATTTACACATTCGAGTCTCTGATTAAGATCTTGGCCAGAGGCTTCTGCATAGAGCCCTTCACCTTCCTCCGAGACCCATGGAACTGGCTGGATTTCAGTGTCATTGTCATGGCGTGAGTGTGGCATTTCATTTTTATTAATGGGTAAAGACTAAAAGAAGTGTCTGTTCTGAAAGCTGTGAAATATCAATCATCATTTACTCACATTTGTGTCATTCCAACTTTATACGACTTTCTTGCTTCCCTGGAAAACAAATGGAGAAGTTGAACTTAATGTTCATGCTGCTCTTTTACAACATTTAAGAAGCACAAAAGCATCAAAGAGCGTGGTTGATTATGACATTGATTATTAACTTTAGTCTAATGTTGCTGTTTGAGCATAAACAACATCTGCAAAGTTGCAGCGCTCGAAGTTCAAAGTAGAGCCCGACCGATAAAGGATTTTGAAGGCTGATACCGATACAAATATTTTTGGGTTTTAAAGTCCGATATTCCGATATATCGGCTGATATTTTTTTTTATTATGTATTGTTGGATTTCACACACGTGTAAAAGAAAAATGAACTTTTCTGCACAAGATACGTTTGATACTTTTTCTCTATGTCTAAATGTTCACTCCTCGCAAGTATAAATTACATTTTACAATGCAGGGACTGTAATTAGAGATATGCTAGTTATAAATACAGTAATCATTACTTTATTTAGGCAGAAAAAGTTAATTGTGGTTTCCAAGCTCATTAATGTTAACGTTAGCGGTCTTCCACTGATGATAGTGGCATTAGCTAGCTTTGTGGTTAGCTAGTCTATGATGAGCCTTAATTTAGCAATAGATAACATCATACTGCAAATTGTAAAACATACATTTTCAATATAACAGGCCAAGGAGAGATGATTGAAGCGTGTTTCGTCCATTTTTATTTTATTTTTTAAATATTCATTTATCGGCCATTATGACTGCCGATTAGGGATGCACCGAAATGAAAATTCTTGACCGAAACCGAAAACCGAAAAAGAGGAAACCAAGGCCGAAAACCGAAAACCGAAACACCGAAAAGAATTATTAGTATCATTGTATTTATGGCTATGACTGTGTACAAACTTTACTAAAATCAAGGCATTGCAATTGCATATTAATATCACATTTTCAAAGAATAAATCAATTACAAATTATGCAAATATTTATTTAGCACAATGCACAGTATAAAATAAAATTCAAACTAAAATGTTTAACTTGACCCCACTCATACACTAAATAATAATCTACTGGCCTGCAGAAAGGTTTTAAAATTAAACGTTCTCTCAAAAACAAAGCCGAGCGCAAAATTCTCATCACACTAGCACCCAGTTTGCATGTCTAAATTAGTTACATTTTAAAAATTTGGCATACAATAACATAAAAAGCCTTTTTAAATGAACAATGGTCCATGTTTAATACAAATGTACATGAAACTTAATGAAACATGTTTAGTGAATGTATTTAAATATTTAAGAGAGCATTAATTTAGTTCTATACATACATATACATAGTTCCCAATCCCATATACATATTTTTTGTAATGTCACACGTAATAATCTCAGGGTTTACTGGGTTTTACATGATTATTTTTGTATTGGTGGTGGAATAGCCTACTAAAAAATAAGCATTGTCATGTGTTAATCTTTCTTCTTCTCACCGATTCCTGATGGTTAGAGGACAGTTACTTGAGTCGTTCCCTGTCGTTTCAAGGAATAGTACAACGGAGAGCGCGTCAAGTATAAACGCCTCGACCGTTTGGAGCGGTGCGCGCGCTGTCTGTGGAGACTCGCGCTGCCTTGTTTACTTTCGCCTGCCTCCGCAGCGCGAGTCTCCACACACAGTGCGCGCACCGCTCTTGACCCGCTCGCAACCGGAATCGTCGTCATGGCGGCGCGCGTTGTTTAGAGCAGATATAGGTGGATAAACAAGGCTTCCGTCTCCTCGCGGGTTCAGATACACTGAAATACGTCCGCACCGCAAACATGTTGCTTCAGACAAGCACGTGCAGGTCGCAGTTTCTGTTTGCGTCATCACAACATTTCGGCCGTATTGTTTCGGTGATAAAAGTCTTTCGGCCGAAAACCGAAAATGCACTTTTGGGCCATTTTCGGCCGAAAATTTTCGGCGGCCGTACTGCCGATACCGATATTATGGAAAATTCCTAATATCGGCCGATAATATCAGCCGGCCGATATATCGGTCTGGCTCTAGTTCAAAGCAAAGGGAGATATTTCTTTTTAAAGAAATCGTTTTTTAAGGACTACAACAAACAGCTGGTAGGGACTACACGACATTCCTCCTAAAATTTACATAAACCCCGCCCCCGGGAACACGTAGTCAATGTTGAGAGGAGGAAGAGCTGTTGTAGTCGAGCACATTTGTGAGTGAGATAAAACTATAGCATCCGTCTTTTCACATGCATAGAAAGTCACTCGTGTGCATCTCACAATAGTTCCTATACAAGCCGTATACTGACAGAATATGCTAATTGAAGATAATTAACTCCACATCAGCAACATATATCATCAACTAACCATTCAGAGATGTCCTGTTGCATTCTACATGTTGTCACTTTTTCTTAATCTCTCCATCTTTGTCTGACTGTGGTTTAAATAGAAAAGGCAGGACAGTTTCTGACATTTTAGCGTGTGATCTGCACTCTTGAAGCTCCGCCCACTGTGTCGGGAGCTGCAGCTCATTTGCATTTAAAGGGACAGACACAAAACGGTGCGTTTTTGCTAACCCTCAAAAAGTGACAACTTTAACATGCTATATAAAAATATCTGTGAGCTAAAACTTCACATACACACTCTGGGGACTTTTATTTAGAGATTTATTTTACATCCTGTGAAAAGGGCATTATACCACCCCTTTAATATAACAAATGAAAAAAGTGATTTATAATTTCAACTTTCAAGCTCAAAAACACCAGCAAGTCTCATGTTAGTAGTTAATTCATTAAATTCCAAGTCCTACAAATTATTTTTGTGAGAGACGGCCTTAAATTAAGTTGTTATTCACTGACATGTAATCTCAACTTTTTTATTGAAGTGTTGACAATAAAAACCCCGACTGTTCTTCAAGTAGTTATTAGCATATCACAACCAAAGTGGCAAGAAACTGGAGTTGCGAGGAATCAAGAAAGATGTCAATCAAGGTACACACAGGTATCCAGAAAGAGATTTGTCAGGTGACCTAAATATCCAGCATTCACAGCTCAACCAAAGCAGAGGATTGGATTAACTGGAAGAGAGAGATAGACTCGAACATTGACCTGTTCCCCTCTGGTGAACATTTCCTCTCATTAACAAACCACTCCAGTTTGTCCTTCCAAGCTGTTTTTTTTTAAAGTTTAGTGGGTTTATCTCTTCTCATGCATAGGGTCAGATAAATGTCAGACACACTTTTTCTCAGGACACCTGGACATTGGTGACCCACTCGTGCCCTTTTGACTTCCTACAAAAATAAATAAACAAACAAACATGATAATACTAATTATTCGTTAATGTTTATTATTATTTTATATCAACATTTTAATTTATATATATATATGGAGCTAGAATTGTGTATTTAATACATGCAAGATTTTTCTCATTACATTTTTTTTTCCTCAGAAATTATTTAAAAAATTTTACATTTATATTTTTTATGTTCTATGAGAAAATACTTTCTCTAAAAACTTTTTTGTCTGAAATATTATTCTTTTTTTGCAATTGGTATGAAAACTTTTGCCATCAAACATTTTTTTTCACATTATATATTGTGAATAAAGCACAGCTATTGACCAATTAGACTCAAGGATTGGAACTAACTGGTATATATATATATATATTAGGGCTGGGCAATCCAAAATAAAAGTTTGTGTTTACGTAATACATGTGTGTAGTGTGTATAATTATTTTGTATATAAAAAAATACACACGCATGCATGTATATATTTAAGAAATATTTGCATGTATATACATGATATATATTTATACATAATTATTATTATGTATAAATATAAATATTTGATATTAAGAAGACATTTTTCTTAAATATATACATGCATGTGTGTGTATTTATATATACAAAATAATTATACACACACATATTACGTAAACAGAAACTTTTATTTTGGATGTGATTATATATATATACTGTATATATATATATATATATATATATATATATATTTACAGGTTAGGTTAGGTTAGGGTTAGGGTTAGATTAGGTTAGGGTTAGACAGCTATTGCTCCCAAGCACTTGTGGTGTTCCACCATACAATATAGTTATCCACTTTACACGCTTAGAAAAGCGCAACGTTTTATTTTGTGTCACCATTCTTGGTTGAGTTACACTACTCGTGGATCTGCATTTAAATAGGGAAAATGTGGAGGTGTTTGGTCGCTTCTCTGCTTGGCCCATGTTGAATGAACTGGGCTAGTTAAGTGCGATCAAAGTGTCTCGCGCGATTGAGCACACGCACTTTTGATTTGAAGAACGACTGTAGTCTTTTTCTTTCCAGGTATGTGACAGAGTTTGTGGACCTCGGCAACGTATCAGCATTACGGACATTCAGAGTTCTGCGTGCTTTAAAAACAATATCAGTGATCCCAGGTGAGCGACACCTACAATACCACAATCAGCTTTGCTTTCATACAGACCTTCAGTGGAAAATATTGCATTTATTTTAATTTATTAATAACCTTGTTTTTGTTTTTTACATCTGTAGGTTTAAAGACCATTGTCGGTGCTCTCATCCAGTCGGTTAAAAAGCTAGCGGACGTGATGATCCTCACTGTTTTCTGTCTCAGTGTCTTCGCTCTGATTGGTCTACAGCTTTTTATGGGCATCCTACGACAGAAGTGTGTCCGTAGCCACGCCCACTGTGTTAACTCCACCTACCCTGGCAATGGAAGCTTCGTTTGTAACAATAAGACATGGCTGTCCGTCAAGGACTTCTTAACAAATGAAGGTTCAACCGACTTATATTGGATAAATTGCTTTATATTGTAAATGTTAACTATTAATGTCACAGTAGGGGTGTAATGGTGATGAATGAATGAATGAATGAATTAATGACTGAAAGTCACTCAAAGTGTCAGTGATTCTAAGTCTGACTGTCTTGTAAAAATCACTGATTTTTTTCTCACTCTTGTTCCCACAGACAATTTCTACAAAATGGAAGGATCCAAGGATGCCTTAATATGTGGATACAGCAGCGATGCTGGGTGAGTAATCTTGAC